CCTCTCCTTCTCCTCGACCCTTGCTCTCATTTCCAGTCCGGACCAGAACCCTCACTTTTTTCCCACGGGCCTTCAGATTACTCTTTGCCCGGACAACTCTCTTTTTAATTGCCTTCACTCTGGATTTCTTTATGACTGGAACACTGCAATCTGATGGGATGAAAGGATCTGCTTCTATTGCCAGCATCTCTATGTCCTTCTTGCTGTCCAAAGGCTGTAACACATACTGCAGGTTTGCATATCAAGAATTTTATTTACAATTTGATTTCATCAGAGCTAATGTTAAATTATGTACCTCTTCATCTTGAGCTTTTTCTTCACCCTCCTGAAGATATTCTTCTCGAATTAACCCAACTTTGGTATCAACCTCATCACCCATTTCGATAGCTGCTTCAACCATTGCCCGGAACATGGCCTGCACACGCTGACACTGCTCTGCATAGCAATCAAATGAGCCAAGTTTTTGTGAGCAGGACTGGCATACTGTGTGTGGCAAATCATCCTGGTTGTCAACCTGGCACAAACAGAAAATAACGTCTCTACAACTTACATTTCACAGCAGAGTCTCACTGATAATCTTTTACTGTAGATATAAAGCTGTGCCGAGTGAATGATTTAAAATTTGTGGAAAACTTACCAAGAATATAAAATTATGAATTAGATTTATTATTACTCACAAATATTTTGCATTTATATATACATTAAAATGGGTAAAATGTTATTATAAAATTAGTTACTTTAAATATATTCATACAATTTCAATTTCCTGGTTTAAATCATAAACAATAATTAGATTATTAGGTGTTCTTCATGACGGAAAACATCTTATGGGCTTGTTCATGTCTGTTATCTCTGCCTGTCACATTTTTTGCAACAATGAGATGAGTAGTCTGATTGCTGGAAACCACTACTGCACAATGATAACCTGAGATGCAACAATGACCTGGAATTACACCAATGCAAGAATGGCCTGAGATGGAACACATTAGTGCAACAACCATCATAATTCTGTAATTAAATAAGGTAAAAAATTGTGACATTTGTACATGACAGGGTGTCTGAAAATATATGCATGGCCTATTGACAAGGACTACCTCAATTTATGGCATGTAATATGAGAGTATAAACATGATGTGCTAGTATTACGTACATACATTCCAAGAGGAAGAACATACCAGTAACAAAATTGTATGAACTGGTTATGATGCTCAAAATCGTTAAATTCGGGGTTCACAGACGTCCCAAAATATACTCGATTATAATTTCGGCAGCAAATAGCAATGCCACAATTTTGTAGCACAGCAAAATTGTCTTGTTACACAATTCACACAACAACAATAAATAACACAAACAACACTCTGAGCCAGCGTAATAAATCTTGTACTACTTTCAACCCGGTTTTAATGTGGAAACATGGCCGCCACAGCTTTGTCTTTTTGACACATCCTATAGGCTACGGGCCAGAGAACTCACCGAAATTGAAAGATATTTCAGAATCTTCTCTGGCAGAAGAAGATCCTTGTTTTCAAACACATCACATCCATTTGCCCCTGAATTTGCACACAGACGGCACCAGTTCCTCCATTCTAAGCTCATGTTTATCTTCCAATTTATCTAACATTTACAAGTATCAAGAATGACACTTTATTAGAAATACACTGTACAGTTTAGTAAATTTCGATGTTATTTTGTTGGGTGCATCCTTACGCCAACATTGCAGCAAGAAATTACCAACACAATAAATTATATTCGTACTATTCTGAAGGAATTACGGTCATTATAAACGTATTACGAAAGAAATACTAATGACACTCTTACAATCTGTAACGTCCTAAATTAACATTAAAATATGCTGTAATAAGAAGGAGTGTAGAATGTGGCTTATTTATGTAATGTTGGATATTCTGAGGACGAACGATAATAGCGCCCCGTTGAATACATATGGAAACTTGTGAAATTCTCTATATAACATCGGCGGCTCAATTGATAGTGCAGTCCAATATTCTCCAGCAACATCAGAAAAGACATGTCTGATAACACGAAAATCAATAACATCAACAATTGAAAATTAAGCGTGTGCATAGACATCTTTAAATCGAACGAATGCACGACGCAGTCCACACTGATTTGTTTAATCCCACGTAAGTTGAAATCACTGATGCTCAGTAAATCATTTATGAACACCGTATTTCACACCGACCGTAACGGCAGAGCTGTTGATTTAGGATTTTATTCGTTTTCCTCAGTAGCTCCACACAAACACCGGGCTAGTATCTCACATCACGACCGCTGCTTCATACATCCTTTCCAATTAATCCCACGTTCTTTTCTGCTGCTTCATAAGATTCGTAAAAGAAAATGTTGCCCACGAAGGCTCATTTAGTAGCATGGTTGCCTTCGGAAAGGGCTATGCGAATTCGATTCACAGTTTGGTTCTTTTAATCATAGTAAAACTGTAAATATAGGAGGGATAGTCGCCGTAAAGACAAACATAAGTAACTTGAAAGGGATTCTGAGATCTTTCTGTCCTATACAAGTCCTATGCTTATCCACTCCTTTTCGCTCATAATTTTGCATTTGTCGCGACACGCATGAGATTTAAACACTGTGATGGCAAATTCCCATTCACCTACACCTTGCGACATAACCACATGGATGACCAGTAAAACCAGTTTATAAAATTTTAAATAAGTCTGTCGACGATGCCCAACCAGTACCCTTATAAAATGTCGTTAAATACAACAAGAATCATTCAAATACAAGCCTTTACGCCTTAAAATGCAGACCTTTCTTTATATCGTCTCTCATTCACAAACGCTCCTCAAGAAAAAGTATCCTGCATAAAAATCAAATCAGATCCGAAATGACATTAACCAGATCAATAAATAGGTCATCTCTTCTTTCCTATTCCTCTAGAAGGGACGGAATATTCTGTCATATCAATTTCAAGTTCCATTTACTTCATCAAGTATCTTCTTCTGCACCTTAATTAAATGAAACAAAAATAAACCACCCTCTTTCAATTATAATGGTGGAAAACTATAATTTGGAATAGAAACTTTATTTTTCTTTACATTTCCTTAAATATAAAACATTCTCAAGAAAGTAACAATTAAGAATTACAGAGCTCGGATTTAGGTATATGTCCACATATTGTCTCGTGATGATAGAGATTTCCAGACGGTCTGATTCTCATCCGATTAGCTCCACAGCTTGTTTTAAGAAGGCCTTAGGAAACCTCTTCAGAAGAATTGGTCCAATATGGAATCGGATAGCAGTACCAAAATTAAAATGCTGATCTGATGCTACAGACTTTCAGGTGTTTATAACTTTCATCTAGAGGATTTCCACTGCATATCCTAACAAAAATTGAGTAAACCTCTACAATACAGGATACAAAGTCACGACCTTCAGCATAAAGAAAGAGCTAAAATGTTGGTAGAGGTCTTGCGGTGATCAGTTCAGTTAAGGGCTCCTACCGCTTGTCCTAAAAGTATTTAGAATGCCTTTACCAATGCAAGAATTGGGTTGCTTTACCAAGAATAAAAACACGTGTCCATTTACATCGGTGGGCTGTCATCAAAACTGCAAATGCTGTATTTAGAATGATTGCCTTACATTAGAACAACAGCATTTTTGGAGAAACTATCATTGCCATCTTTAGAATTTGAAATCCACCAACTATTACGTAGTCAATTGAATAAAAATTTTCTTGGATATTATCCATCGTCTAGTAAATATAAAACGTAAAACGACGTTTCGGATTTGGGACTCTATCTCCGTCTTCAGGTTCCTACACAGTTGGGCCCACTAGATAGAGCTAATCCCTATCTCCGGACGAGTTGGGCCCAACTGTGTAGGAACCTGAAGACGGAGATAGAGTCCCATCTCCGAAACGTCGTTTTACGTTTTATATTTACTAGACGATGGATAATATCCACAAAAAAAAATTATTCAATTGACTCTTCACCATCGTCAAGAAGTTTTAGATTTGATATTACGTAGTCTATGAATCAAATGTTATTAGGGTAAGTATCTTCGAGTCTAACAGACCGTTGTTGATGACGACAATTGTTACAGGATACGCACATTATGCGCAGCGCAAAGCAGAGCGTATGCGCGAGGCGATCGTCGTCTGTTTTTCTGGTGCGTCGCACCAAATCATGGAGTGTGACTGCTTCAGTTGTGTTTGAGAAGGCGCCCGTGACGATAAAAGTGTGAAGACGGTAGGCGTCACTGATTCTGATTCTGATACGGTAAGTTAATGTATATAACATAAACGATACTGAAATATGTTTATGATCAAGTCTTTTCAATATTGCATTAAAACAAAACTAGTCTATGCGTTGAAGTCATTTTTAAATTGTTTATGCAACCTTTCATTTATCATGTCTATATTAGAAGTAACAGAATATTTTCCCTTATATTAACCTGCAATGTCTAAATAAATTTCCGAAACCTTCAATTAAAATCTACAGAACTATGAAATAAATTATAATAAACGTCACAGACAGAATCGCTTCATTATGCCCCACTAACAATATCTGAATATACAGGCTGATATTTTTATTGTATAACGCTGTAAAATTGACGATTTAAAATAATGGTTACCGTAAAATATAAATAACGTAAATCATTATGGGGTGTTAGTTAAATAAGGGAGGGATATAGAAAAAAATATATATTAATGCGTCGTTACTAGGCTGCAGGCCAAAATCACGCTCTGAAGACAAATGTGGCAAAGTTCAAATATTTGGGAACGAAAGTTACAATCAGGACAAAATTAAGACCAGATTAGATTTGGGAAATGCTTGCAACTTAACATTGCACAATGTAGCACAGACAGGAACGTGAGATATGGATACAGAATTTTTGTCAGAAACCTAAGTGCAGATGGAGAATAATATTAACATTTATTTTGAAAATCCAGGGTAAGAGGATTCATCTGGCTCAGGTTAGTGACCAGTGACGGGCTGTTCTGAATACGGTAACAAATCTTTGGGTTTCATAACATGAGAGAGGTTTTTTGACTATCTGAGCGTACTGCTAGCTTCTCTAGAAGGATTATTTTCCTCGGAGTTGCTTAGTTAAGAGCATCACATTTTCACACACCTTCCTTTCAATACACTTGGAAGTGGTTTCGTAAACCTTCAGTTTAATATGGCGTCCTCAGAGCTTTGCGCAAAGAAACAACGAAATTTGCACAAATTTTGTCGGATATATGAATGCTCATGCTGTGACGTTCACAACATAAATTTCAAAAAAGTTAGATGACAAAAAGTAGAGGAAACGACAAATGAAAACTGAATATGGGTGGAACGACAGGAGAAGGAACTATTTGTGAGATTAGGTGCTGCTGGAAGAGTCGAAGAGATATTAAAGTTAACAATAAAGGAATAGATTATGAAGAACTGATTCCGTTGGCTCAGGATAGGCTTTTGTGGACACGGTGATAAATGTTCGGGTGACAAAACAATTGAGTGACTATAAAATGCTGAATAAAGATTCTGTACCTTGAGTTACGTGGTTGTGTAGTCGCTAGAAAATCTGCAGAATTCTTTGTAGCGTTGTCGAATTGGACCACAAAACTCACAAAATCTCATGGAAACCAAATATCTATGGCGATCAGTTTTAGCCGGCACATAAACAAGCTGGTAAACAACACTGTATTTCCTCTACAGTGAATGAAGCAATAGGATTTTCGGTCAAACGCTTCTAAACTGTGCTGTATGCATCACTGAATCTTTGCAGTTAAACCAGTCTCCGATTTGCCACCGAGTCTCGAACGAAGAGCGTGCAACTAATATAAACTAATTTAACGGTACTGTAAGCCCTTGGATTTGGAAGTGGGACTTTGTAATTAAACACTGTTGACGACTCTCTTCCACAGAAAACTTAGAGAATAATTTAAAGATTACTGATAACTGTATGTGCCGATAATTCGAATTTTCGTCGACATATTGCATTCGATAACCTTGTAGAGTTGCTTATAGTTTTGAATAAAGATGTGTGAAATGAGTGGAAATGGAGGACACTGAGAATCCATGCAAAATTGTGGTAGTGAAACCTTGCTAACAGGTAGGCATACCAGTAATAGGATTCGTGTAGGTGGAAAATGTGTCTTGAAGAAACAGCCTATTCAGAGAGCCAATTGGTGAAATATTTTGATGATTGTGATGAATATTCAGATTCACAATAGGAAGTGGATTTCTTTACCATCTGAGTAACTATTAGCTGCTCAAGGAATATTCTGTGTCGTGGAGTTGTTTGCTTAAAAGCAGTGAGATATGTTCTGTTTTATTTTACAACTCTGGCTTTCGGAGGTAAGTCGTGTTATGGCATGGCAACTGTGATGTTTGCCGAAATGCTGAGAAACCTTCAAGATTCGAAGCGGTTTATCCTTGAAAGCCTAAGTTATATACTAGCTAAAGCTGCCTATTAACTTTCACATTTGATGATGGCGTAGAATATAAAAGATTTTTCAATGCAAAGGTGGTATAACAATGGTTCAGTATAGTTTGCTGGAGTATCTGGTTATAGAAGTTGCAACGCCTGGAGACATTGAGATAGGCTGACAGCACAACTGCAGTGCCGGAGAAGTTGCCGCACAACGGGCGCTTCCGTTTCTCACTCAACAGCAAACGAGTGTCTTATCCACATACGCCACCAACTTACAAGGCTATATGCGGTGTCACAAGTCAGGAGACAATTGAGAGGGCATGGCTCGTAGATATAAATGGCGAAATAAATAATAATGTCTTCTCGGTTGTAGCGTAGCGCCGTGTAGTCTGGTAGAAGTCCACCACCGTTTCAGACATATGGAGATTTGCACTATTGAAGGTCTTATAAATATTGCTTATTATATTATTATTAAGTGTTCTGTCTTATGACAGGTCCATTGCTCTGCCCAAAAAGAGCTCTCCAGTTGTCCCTATTCTCGGCTTCTTGCTTTAATTCCTGGAACGTCATCTTCTTTCCTTGTTTCTTTGCTTGCTTGCTTAAAAATTATTTTTAAAAGTTTTCGCTTATGGAGTTCTATAATTAAGTTTATTCCGGAACGGGTAGTTTGAAGTGTCGTCTTTACCACGGAAACCTTCACATTGTAACACATCATTCGTACGAGTAACCTTCCCATTGCAGCCTGAGTACTTAGCCACACTTTACCCTACAAAACTAATCTAACATGTTACTTTCTGATGCATTCACTTTTTCGAGTTGTATTTGTTCAAACTCCTATCCTTCCCCTCCTGGGGGCACTCCAGGACCTTCAACACGCCCGTGGCATCTCTGCCATCTTGCAGAACGCCATCATGCTTGCACTTGTTCCATGTTTGAACTAACAAGTACTTTCGAGAAGAGAACCGAACGACATTAGTTTGTCAAAACTTGGCAGTCAGACGAACTGGAACAGTGAGAAATGATTCCACAGGGAGAAGCCACTGCAGAATAGAGAACTGTAAGTTATAACTTTGTTAGCCAACCGCTCGTTCGTTTGTCTGTTAAAGAGCATTAAACTGCATTCAAATTACCAAGTTCTTATTACATTATGAAAGACAATTCCCAAATCCTGGATTTAATCATTTTAATATGTGACAAAATAATCAAAATGAAGAATGTGTACAACGAACGGACTGACTGCTTGACTGAATGGCTGACCACGCCCAATGATACGCGCGTTTCAGCTTGTTCTGAACTTATGATTATGAAATGAGGAAATTAGAAGACACGAGCAATGGAACTCCAAATTATTTTGACTTCTTATTCCTCATCCTTCACCCTCAAATACATATTGACGGGTTTTTTGTATTCGGAAGGCCCGGGTTTGATACATACCAAAGCAATTTAATCTTCGTAATATATCAAAGTTCATAAAGAAGAGTATTGTCCGTTTCTTAAAGTAGACCATGACATCTCATTCTAGTTATTTACCGTGTCTATTATTTCACTCAGAAGAGTATTGTCCGTTTCTTAAAGTAGGCCATGACATCTCATTCTAGTCATTTACCGTGTCTATTATTTCAGTCTGATGTGAATAAAATAAAGGCAAGTGTCTTCTAAGATGTTGCACCGTGTGTTTTGGCAAATGCTGACCGATGATTCAGAGCAGCTTGCTGCCTCCATCACCAGCTTCCCCAGTGTGGAACTAATGAAATCAAGAATCGCTGTGACGGTTCTTTCCTCAGTCACGCCCCCTCCTTCTTTTTCTGTAAAGGCAATGTCGTCCCTGGTGCTTACCAAACACCACGTCATGAGGACATACCGGCTAATGGAGGAGCAGTTCCGCTATTTCTAGACCTCCACACTAGATGGAGGTGTGTGGTCAGATTTACGCCCCGGCTGCAAAACCCTCATGGAAACAGCAGTGCCAGTCTGACAGGACGCTGGGTTGGCCTCAGAGCCCGGTCTGGGCGCGGGGCTAAGACAGACATCTCTTGTCCCTGCCGGGAATCGAATCCTGGTCGTCCAGTCCGTAGTCATACTGCACTACCCCAGCTCCTCGTCCTTTCTACATTTATTTCATTCTTACTTCGGGTTAAAGGCGGCCGGAGCATAATGGTAACTAGTGGAGACGTTAGAATTCGCGGAGATTTTCTTTACGCTCAGTGCTGGAGCACTTGCCCTTTACCTCTGCTCAATACATCACCACAAATCATAGCGAAATTGCGTCTTGTACTTGCGAGTGCAATAAGGGCGAAGTTTCCACGAGTGAGAGGAAGTCCCTGTCAGGAGCTGGAGCCGCTGATAAGGGACCGGCGGCGAGGAATATCGCTCCTTCATTGATCCTATGCGGCAGGAACTAGCATTGCTGAGATGGCGTATTAAATCAAACTGACACACGGAATGAAGGCATAACGGGAGTCATGCCCGTCCTCACATGTCAACTCCAGACCACCTAAGCAACAAATATCGACGAAACTTGGTACTGGGAGTCTACACTGAAACTTGTGAGGCGAATTTCAGATTCCTTCCAATTGACCCTCGTATAGCCCTATTTTAATCCAGCTGAAACACTTCACACATTTTCTTAGAATATAATAGCCCTATTTTAATCCAGCTGAAACATTTCACAGATTTTCTTTGAATATGAACATCTTACAGAAATTGTATATGAAATTAAATACAGGCCTAGAGCTCTTCAAGAACTAGGATTTATACTATAGATTACTTTTGATGTGGTAAAATAAATAAAAAAAATTGTACCGCTCTAAGGCGAGGATTTTCAGAATTCTAAAAGAGATAAGAGGGAGAACGTCTTGAAGGGGGACCGGATCATCTCAAGACCTCAGCATTTTCCTCTTGGCGTTACAGTTGGATTCGAGTTTTGGCTCCCCCTGCTATACAGATTTTTACAAGTGTTTATTAAGACAAATGGTAGAGCTCTTTATATGGAGAATGAGTCAACTGCAAGGCGTTGAACAGCGACACAGAGAAACGAGGACAAATGTCTGTTCATGAGCAGTATTCGAACTTTCGGTCTCGGTGATCGAGGGGTCCGAGATCGCTTGCACCACAGACCTGTGACTATCGGTGTCATAGGAATGCTGGGCAGACATCTGTAGCTCGATACAGCCGACTGGAACAATGTTTATAAAGCTGAATATTAAACCAAAGCTCGCAAATGTGTGTGTACATGTACGCGTATATAAATGGATGTCAAATACAGAACGCGCTTATTTATACGTTCATGACCTTTTATTTGAGGAATATGAGAGGATTTTTTTTCAGAATTTTAAATGTGCTGCAATTTTTAGTGAGCCCCACTGTCGCTAAGGAGGGACACAATCGGTGATTATTACGAGAATTAAATGAAGCACATAAATGAACTCTGTCTTAAAAATCCAGTCAGTAAATGTTAACGTAGGTAGTGCACATAGTTACCACTGAACTATAAAGAATTAAAATTTATTAAGTAAGGGGTTCCTGGAAGGACTATTAATAGATGTGATAAGTTCATGTATCACACGTTTCGACCTTCTGTGGCACTAAAGTCGCTACAGGCATCCCTCATATAAAAATGGAATACATTATTCAGCAGTAAATTCCCCCGTCCGGAGGAAAGGGCTTCTTCTTATCGATTTCCTATCCCTGTAATTAAGAACTTGTGATTTTGCTTAATCTCTTCTTTCCTTTCAGAATGTGTGTTGGCTTCATACCGTGAAGGTATATGAAGAGGTCGGTTCCTATTGGGTGAATAGCAATGATGTACTGAAAGAATCAAGTCGACCGTGTTTGTGCACCATTTGAAGTAACAAATTAAATTAATCGAATAGAGTCCAATTATCCGTCCTAGATAAAACTACGTGTTTCCTATTGTTACTGAAAAATTACCTAAAGTTATAAGTAACTCCTCCTCCAAAAATAGAGCTTACAAACAAATACAAACGAGAAATGAAGAACATGTCGGTCATTCTGAGCTTCTTTAAGACTCTAATTGTCTTGTCCATATTACTACGAACTGTAAAATTCAGTGGAGCTGCGACTGTAAATTTATCACGATCTAAACTCGTAACAACATTAAAAGGAACCTTGACGCCAGATACGACACCAGCAAATCCACCATTTAATAACCAGACTCTTTTCTCCATGGCCAATACTGATTATCGTACGTCATACACAACTCAGTCATCTATATTATCAAGCACAACAGAGTCATATACGAGTACAATGACCACGGTCGATATTATTACGACAATGACGACAAAGCATCAACCACAGCCTTCTGCTCACCGCATTCCTTCAAGACTTGAAGAAAAATTGGAATCACTTTCCTGTGATATTCCACCGCTGCCCACAGAGTCGAGGCTGTGGAGAGGAAACGAGACACATGAACTGATGCTGCCAATTACAGTAAGTAAACAACCATTTTATGTTTTTATTCAGGATTGTAGGTCGTCAGCACGGTTCGGTTAAAGCCAGGCAGGTCCTATGATTATGATTATTATTATTTCGATGTTTGGAAATTTCCCGTTATATGTTATTTAAAATCACACCAAAATAATCATTAAAGAATTAAAGATATAAAATTTACTAAGTTTCTAAGGCTGACCTTGGCCCTAGGTTGGAAAGAGTATGGGGAGAGAAACCTAAAATGTCATAACTGGGTAAAATGATAAACCTGTGTTACTGCCAAATTTAATCATATGACAACTTTGGATTTTGCGCCATTAGATGGGTCCTTTTTCATTGTCTCGACTGCTTCCAAAGTTCTTGTTTAAAAAGAAAAAACCGGGACGTTTCGGAAACTGGCTCTGTCTCCTTCTTCAGGCGAAAGGTACCTACTCAGCTGGGTCCGTTAGATAGAGCTAGTCTCTGTCATTGACTCACTATGCGGTTGCCTAAGCAACTTCGTGAGATTTGAGGTTCTGACGGCGGTAAGTATGTTTATGATGTTCGTTTTCAGTTTTAACGCCATGTAAACTCAGCGATAGATGCTAACGTTTCAAAGAAACACAATGCCGTAGTTTGAATTGTTATCTGACTAAACCCCTTAAGCATGTTGTACAACTATAACGGTACTGAACGCGCTATAAAAAGGAAACCACATCTCCTTGAATAATTCAAAACACCTCGGCGTCAAAGTAAAGCAAAACCATTGTTTGTTGAATTTTATATGATGATAAATTGCTGTAAACCTCAAACCGCGCGCTTGACTTTTATGCAGAGCATTCAGCGCGAAATGTTGCGCTCTTTGTTTGGCGTCAGTCAAATGTTTTATTTAAAATGGCGATCGATTATCCTGTCATTAAAACGCAACCAATGCAACTTCCAGAGCAGAATATTTTAGCAATAATTAATAATGCAATACCTCGCCAACAAAAACAAACAAAATTTAGGAAACTCTAATACGAAGCCCTGTCAACATTAAACGTACAGGGCTACACACTTCGTTGGTTGGTCTGAAGTTTATTAATTGATTTACTACAGACGCAGAGGTTATTTGGCGTATGTACAGCAAACAAGAAAGGGACCTTTCGGGCCTATTGTTCTATTAAATATAACCTTATATGTTTAACTCTTTACAATGCAGTGCAACTCTGTTTGTAGCTTACTTTAACGTTCAGTAACTCAGTATTTAGTTCACAAAATGCAATTATGTTATTTATGTTTCGTCTGTTACTCTACAAATAAGAACAGATAGGTGCGGGCTCTAATCCAAAAACATCGGTCTACATACAAATAATTTCTTTGCAATTTTATTCATATCATTCGGCCTTGAGTCACATCAGTAGTCGAAGGCCGACAGGAAGTACCGAAATTACAAACGTCCGACTTGAAACATCCGGGCATACGAACGAAGCAGCTGCCATAATAGCTCAGTGATTCGGTTGAACTAATGAACCGGTAGTCAGTCTCCGGAACTGTTATGGCGGCTTCTACCTCCT